TTGTAAGCTTGAAAATGAGAAAATGGTAATATTTGCTCTAAGTTTTGGATTAAGCAGGTCTACTTGTAATTGTAAGACAACTGAAAGAGAATGTGTAGCACTAGAAAACTCATAAAGCTCTATCAAATGTAGTGGGAATGAAAGCGAGAATTTAAAGAGATTATTTTAAACCCTCCTAAATTAAAATTTTGTACTATATTTTGATTCTAATTCAAACAGGAGTAATTTTCTCCTGCATTGTTTTCACAGAAATACTAAAGGAGTATTGCTTTCTATTAAGTTGTGTTCAAATTTTCAGAAGCCTGTGTATTGAGAATTTTAAAAATAATAAACAATATATATAAATAAATAATAAATAATATAAAAATAACATCTATTATATATAACTATAATAAATAATAATAGTTCATAAGAACATTTGAACTAGCACATTGTGGGGAGGGAGCAGCATAAAAAAAATGGCATCTCTTTGTTAAGCTTTAGTTTTTTAAAACCATGCTTCCATTTCCTAGACGGTAAAACGAACAATTTGGCATATTCAAGGTCAACAAAATCTTGTTATAGAAGCAGATGAAGAACCCCAAACTCTTCAGTCTATATTGAATCCTTCGTATCAATGCTATTGAAGTAATGAAGTTTAATTTAAACTGAGATATCTCCTGCCATGCTATTTCAACACAGGAGCAAACATGCAGCCTACCTAGACAGCCCCAGCTTGGAATGGTCTCAGCTGTCTGGGGCATGAGTGTTTTTGAGAATGAGATCAGGATCAGTGCCAGACTGGTACTTGGACTGAATTTCTTTAAGTGCTTAAAGTATAAGAACTGCCCATGGTCCTTCATAGAGAGTGAAACTTTCTGCTCCCACCTATTGAAATTGATTTCCTATGCAAGCAGCAAGTAGCGTTTGCCAAAGCCACTACAGGCCCTTCAATCACTCAGCTGGCTCTTAGTTTTCCTGTTTGTGTTTTTCCTTTAACAGACTGTACTATGGAAAATAGACCACATTGCTCCATTAAACAGCCATCTGTTGAATAGCAGAGCTGTAAAAAAATAAAATCTATAGTGGGTATTTATCTAATGAGAAATTTACAGAAAATATCCCAGGTATGAATTTAAAATTAGTTTCCCAAACCATATGGTGGAATCTAGAGTGCTCCAAAATGTTTTTTTGTGTGGAGGTCAGTGTTTCCTTTTTGTCCTTTGATGTCCAAATAGTGCTACTGCTGAAAATCACACCATTAGTTTCAGGATTGCAGAGTCTAATAAGGAGGGGTATTTTAGTATGAAGCAAAACCAAAAATCTGTAGAGAGTGACAGTTGCTCCGCTAAGGGACCTCTGAAGTACCATTCCCTGGTTAGCTGAAGCTGGATGTGAGAAGCCTGGGATGAAAGCCAAATTGTGCCATGGACCTGTGTTGTCATCTTGTGCAATTTCCTTAGTCTTTTAATGACTTGTCTCCCTCCAGTCTCATTTTATAGCTGGAATCACTTGCCTGTATTAATATTTATACTCTACTTGCACTGTAAGTTACCTGGATATGGAGGTGTCTGTATTTTAGCTTTCCTGGGCGCTTGCCCCTTAAGACTCTCACCAGACTTTGTCAATCACTTTTGAAATAACATAGACAACTGCCAACAGAAACCTAATTCGGTGTAGCACTGCTCAGCCAGTTCCCAGGAGCTGCTTTGATACCTTATTTAAATTTCATGTTGTGTTTTGTGTCTAGGTTAAATATGATGGTGAACAGCTGGACTGTGAGCCTCCTAGAACTCCTGACATGAACCTGATAAGCCTAGAGAGGGCACTGAGAGGAGGGATTTGGCTACAGGGAGTGGATGCCAGCCAATCCCTGACGAGAACATAAGCAGGTACCTATTGGCCAGTGAGCTGGGTGGTAACCAAATCATAGTCAATCAGGTTCAAATACAGAGTCTTTTGAATAACCTATGTAAGAGCTGTGCAGGCAATTAAATTTTTCTCTGCCACGTGAACTTCGATGTCGTGTTATCTCTATGTCTCCCCTGGCTGCAACAGTTAAACATGCACCTAAAACTGCAAAGACAATAGAAACAGATTTTGCAAGTCAAGCAGTGTTTTCTTTACAGCAGAGGAGGGAGCACAAAGAGTTTCTGTAAAGCTTGGCCAGGTCACCTGAAGTTGGTGTAGCCAAAAATAGAGCCATGATCATCTCCTGCACTCTGACACCAAGGTTCATTACTCCTCTCTGTAATGAAAAACCATAGTCAAGGTGGTGTCACCTATCTGATGTTTTCAGGCCATGGAATTTAATGAATATCATTGCTATCTAAGTCAAGACTTCTGTACCGTTTTCTAAGTAGGATGCCAGCTCTTAGTTCACACTTGTCAAGTGCATCCCAAGAATTACTGTAGGGAATTTTTTTGCTTTACCTGCAGAACTCAAAGTGATTCCTGTAGAGTTCTCTTCTGCTGACTGTTTTACTGACTGTTCAGACACTTTTAGACTTCACCTTTCTACTGGATAAGAAACCTTACAAGGTACCCCGTGCTTTCCAAGTAGTTCCTGTGCCCAAATTTATCACGGGCTCCCCAAGTCCCAGCCTGCTCACTGAACCATGGTGTGCAGAGGTACCTGGGATAATGACACTGCTGCTGTTCCTTGTTAGAACCAAGGAGGGGTGTGTGGGGTGCAGATATGCTGCTGGCACTCACACACACACGGAGCCTTATCCTGTGCAAGCAATAGCACAGAACTCATGTTCTTGGGAGTGGACACTGCGAGGATGTGCAGTTTTAGACAACAACATGTATGTGATTTTGAATCTGTAGTATTCGCAGAATGCTATTTAATTGAACTTACTTCAGGTAGCTACTGCAAAATCAGTCTGAACTGGCATGATAGGTACAAATTATGGAAGGAAACTATACAGAAAATAAATTTGAAAGGGCCACAGAGCTTGAGGAAGCATTACTCTAGAGACCTTAAACCGGAGGTGGGATGCAGCATTAAACAGTGATGTGGTCGCAGCAGTTACTTGTATTTGTCTCCACAGGATGCCATATACAGGCATTTTCATATCAGCTGGTCTGGTGGGTGCTGTGGTAGCTACTCTGCATGTGGAGTTATTTAAGTTCCCAGTAGCCTTGTACAGTGTATGCTGAAGTCTTTAATTACTTCCTGGCAATTAATGGAGTGTGCTGGGTAGCCAAGGCCAGTATCAATATTGCATTCTGTGTTCTAAGCTGTCCTTTGAGTACTGGATACATATTTCAGTATTTAATAATATCTAATGGATCAAAGAGCAGATAAAGGCAGATAAAAATTGGCAGTGTATTTTTATAATCCTCTGAAACCCTTACAGCAGCCAAACAGCATGACATTGTGCATATTTTTTTGTGTTCTCAGGCTAAGTTATTAAAGTCATAAGGAAAGTAATATTTTTCCACATATCTTACAGTGCAATTTTCATATCTGCTAGTAAGAGTCTAGAGAACTCTGTAAACTGGTTTTGTTCTTACCATATGAAATTTGAATATTTAATTCCCAAAATAGTCTTGTATCTTTGAGTACTTTTATTACATCTGATTCCCTTGGTACTTTCTAGATGAGGGAACATTTTGTTTTGTCAGTAAAACCTGGTTTTGAGTGGGTAGAGAAAGGTTGGAATAATATATGTGCTACTTCATTTGAAGGGAAAAAGTATTTTGTAGTATCTGTGATATCTACTGATTATAAAACTGTTTGTAGTGTTGTCCTTGGGTGACTTTATGATGTTTGTATCCCCAGTCGCCTGGTTTATGTTACATATTAAATTCTACACCTTTAAGACTGGCTCTGAAAGTGAAAGAGGGAAAGAAGAAGAATGCAGTTTGTGTTGAAAAAACCCACTCCCCTGCATCCTACTCCTGGACTGTGGTGTCTGCAGCACAGATGGACAGCGGGACAGAGCTTCTCTTTAGTTTTTAGTTAGTTTAAGCTAGCTGAAGCAGAAGAGTTCCCTGGATTTTTTTTATTTTATTTTTTTTCCCCTCCTTGGATCTGTTCAAACCTGCTCTAGACTGAAAAACCCAGACAAACCTCAGGTGCTCATGCCTGTGGCACACCAGGGCCTGGGCCTTGGTACTTTCCGGCGCCGGAGGGACTGATAAGAACCTGAGTGAGCCAAGCTGCACCACATAAAAGAGACTTTTTTTTCTGGATTTGCCATTTCATCAAACAGTGAGAGGTTTTATTGTTTAATATTTCTATTAAATAAATTAATTTTAATTTAATTATTTTCTGTTAAATAAACAGTATTTTTCTCTTCTCTCCAAGGAAATCTCCTTTCCCAAACCAGTTGGGGGGAGGGGCTTCTTGGATTTGCTTTCTGAGGAGACCCTATTTAGAGGTTCTCTCCCAAATTTGCCCTAAATCAGGACAAGTATATATCTCTACAGCAGCTTTCATTTAAAAGCACAGATCATCAATGGATTGACCACCTGATACAGCTTTTCTGTTCCTTGACATTATTGATGCAAGTTCCTTTTTAATAGTCATTAAACAACCATAAAATTAGGAAATTACAATTAAGCTGTGCTCTAATATAGGCTGTGCAGGACCTGCTGCTGCCTAAGTCAGTTCTGTGCATGCTGAAATCATAATCCCTGCAAGAAGCAGGTGTTTAAGTATAAATAACCTGATTTTTTTAAGATACATTGTACACCATTATTGCATTTTATTACTTCTGTGGTAGAAGGAAGAATGAAGTAAAAATCATTTATGTTAGTGAAAAACAGACAAATTTAGTTAGGTAACATTGTACATTTCACTGCTGGACAAGGAGGGAAGAAGCTGATCAGGATGCTTCAGGTAAGAAATAAAAGCTCTCAAATATTAATTACTGTAATGGTATTGAGGAGGTTATCAACTCAAGCCAGATGCCCTGACATCCAGATAGCAGGAGAGAGAGGCTTATTCATTGAGAGTGTGGTGGTCACAGAACTGCGGCTGAACATTAATGTATTCCTTTCTTTTCAAGGTATTTACACCCCTGAACCGCTCTGCAATTTCTGGTGGGCTCTTTTATCCACGGGGTTTATGTTTGTGTATCATTTTAGCATCTTGCAGATCCTGGGATTGGTAAGTAAACCCAGGTTAATAAATGGGTAATCTGCAAGTACACGCAGAGTAAAAATACTGAAGAGTTTGAGAGTCCAGGTGTACATGGATAAGACTACTTGCATGGAAATTTTTGATAAGGCTACTTGTATGCAAATTGCATGTTCTAACAAGCATTTGTATCTTATATTTTGCAAGTACTGGTAAAATATTTCACAGATTGCTTATGTACCACAAATCCATTTATTAAATTTAAAATGAAATTTGGATCTGCTTTTTTTCTGAAAGCTGTCCTACTTGTTTCGAGCAAATGCGTGTCACCGAAACATTTTTGATTATTATGGTAATTCTCTAAATCTTCACTTGTTTTAGGTGAATCAGTGCAACATAAAAATATTGTTAATTGATAAATTGTTGCTTTCTCAGGTTACAGAAGTGAATTTGAACAACATGTTGTGCCCAGCCATCTCAGATCCTTTTTATGGGCCCTGGTACCGCATCTGGGCATCTGGACATCAGACTGTCATGACCATGACTCATGGGAAGCTTATAATCCTGCTGTGTCACAGTGCTGTCCCCACCTTCAAGTGGAGCATGGACTTTCTTAGGCTCCCAGCAAAGAAAATAGACTGAAATTTCTCCCCACAGAGTAATTCATACAGGAAGCAGAGATATACTGGAAAACAAAGAGGGGGGATGAGAGGACAATGGCTTTATACTTCTTCCCATAGTTTTTTGCCTCAAAAACACCTCTGTTATGAAGTGAGGTTTTTTTTACCTGCTGTTTTTCACTGCCTATTGCCAATGGCAAAATTAGTGGCCTTATTCTGGGGAAGATTTGTGTTTTATACATTTTGTATAGATTACAATAGAATCTTGCTAAGTCACCATTTAAAATTAGGCCAGGACCTGTCCACATTCTAGCAAAGAGAGTGGCAGTGCTACCTCGTTTTCCATTAAAGAATAATACACTTCTAGGATAGGAAATTCTGAATTGTAGCACTCAACTTATGTGAACCAACATGCTGAACTGCATTATCCAGGCTTAACTCTTAAAGCTTGAATGTTCCAAAATGGTCACAGGAAATGGTGCGCACTTGATTGTCCTGTCAGAAGTGCAAAACAGTGAAGTTCTACTGTATTTTCTAAAAGCTGATTGAAAAATGTTGGGGAACAATAAGTCAATTTAAAAAAAATCAACTGCTTAATTTCTAAGCTGCAATGGATAAGTATCTATCTAGTGAAGTCCCATCATGATGCTTTGGAGATTCTTTTATTTTGGTAAGGGGGGAAAAAAAGAATGTCAAAATAAATTCAAAAGACGATGTTATGTTTAAGCCATGATAAGATATTGCATCCACTGTTCTGTCCTGACTTTGAACAAAATGGTTTTTTTCACTTAGACTGGAGAAGGAGTGGAGATACAAAGTCCAATGTAACATCAGGGTGGTTTTTTTTATACTTAGTAGCTTTTGAAACATTCCTGCTCTGTCTATGAGGATCCTCACTGACCAGACTGGTTGGTGAAGAAACCAAATTAAACTCTTCTCTCCCTATAGCTCTGCTATATCATGTGTACTGACTTTAAAATACAGGTATAAAAAGGAATGTCAAATCAGTACAGGCCTCTACTGCAAAGAACATATTCCAGTTTAGTAGCATGAGCCATCAACATGTCTTTTGGAGAACAGGATGATGAGCAGAATGATCAACTGCATGTACCTGCTCAAATTTTGCAGGAGGAGAAACCATTGGGCAGAAAGAAAGCCTGACTCTGTTTGTCCAGAATTGTGAGCCCATTATGCAGACTGTTGTGTTTCAGGGCTGCATGTTTTTCTCATACTGAAATTTGTGGGAATTTATAGATTCATTGTGTTGTCAAAGTTGTGACTTGTAACACAAACCAAAACCATCATACCTCCTCCAGCTGGATCATCTGAATGTATGTGCTGAAGTTAAAGTACTGACATTTATACCTCAGGAAGCAAAAGTAGGTTGACTTTTTTTTTCCTTAAAAAAGAAAAAAATTTCTTTGGTGAGGGAACAAGTGGCTACTTCAAATAATTTTACTCCATATGATTAAAAAGAGTACACCTCAATCAGAAATACATTGTCCCATATTCTGATTTACAAACTGGTTTCTGGCTTTCTTCCATACCTTGCTGTATGTGTGTGTGTATGTATATAAAAATATACTCCTATGGTCACAACTTGAGAACATGCAGCATGTACCTAAACTATCCATCAGGCATATACAGCTGGTGTTAGTATTACAATAGAAGGACTTCAGACAAATTTTGCAAATACTTTTGCATTATTATTTGCTTATCTTAGGTGGCAATTTTGTTTTGTTTTGTTTCTTTTTTTTTTTTTTTTTAAGCATTATCCCTTTTTTCCTCTGTCAGGATATTGCAGTTACTGGAAACACTTCTTTAAGTGGGAGCCTTTTCTTTTTTCCTTTTTTTAAACTATACCATGTCCTCTCTGTAATCATCTGCTTCAGGGCATTTTACACAAGTATAAAGCAGCTGCTGTTTGTCACCATTGACTGCCTCTGGCCAATTAAAACTGCAGGAGCATTTAAATGAGCTCAGGTGTCTCACTCAGTGCAGGCTCTTTGCTTGGAAAGCAGAATTTTCAAGCTTTTCTGACTGACTTAAAATTCAGTAGCTGGAATGTGAACAGAGCTGACAAGGGCCATTCCTGGGCAGTGGAAAGGGATTCCTGATGCAGAGCTGCTGGGAGTGGTTGCCCCTGCCCTCCCTCCCTCCCTCTCTGGTTGGTCACTGGGCCCACCTGTGTTTTTCCCTCTTAGGCTGTTCCAGTTGTTTTGAGTCAGAAATTTGAGGTGTAATTTCACCATATGGGGCTTGTTGATGGAGCCGCTCATCAGAGCCAGTGGGGCTCTTGTACAGTCCTTCTAAACCTTGTGGGCACATTCTTGAGCTTGTTGAGTCTTTCATACCAATTTAAGCTGCAAAAACGTTTCTGAACAAGGCAAAAAAGTAGAGGTAACCAACTACTGCACTCAGTAAGGATTTTACAAGTATTGCAGCTGCAGTGAAGGAATCAAATGATGCAGCTGGAGTCAGGTGGGAAGGCAGGCAGTGCAGTCTTCACCTTTTTAACATAAGCTGTTGCTTCTTTGTTGTTGTGCAGTATCAGTGAGGCTGGTTGAGTTAGAATAGAATCCTTTAGGTTGGAAAAAACCTGAGTTCATCAAGCCAAGCATTAACTCAGCACTGCTGAGTCCACCACTAACCCTTATCCCCAAGTCCCACACCTACACGTCTTTTAAATCCCTCCAAGGCTGGTGACTCCACCACTTCCCTGGGCAGGCTGTTCAAGGCTTGATAACCCTTCCGGTGAAGAAATTTTTCCTAACATCCCATTTAAAACTTCCCTGGTGCCACTTGAGGCTGTTTCCTCTTGCCATGTTGCTTATTTCCTGGGAGGAGTGGCTGACCCCCATCCTCCTTTCAGGCTGTTGGTTCCAGAGTGACAAGGTCCGCCCTGAGCCTCCTTTTCCCCAGGCTAAACACCCTCAGCCATTCCTTAGATGTGTGCTTCAGACCCTTCCCCAGCTCTAATGCTTTGCTTTGGATGTACTCCAGAGCCTCAGTGTCTTTCCTGTAGTGACAGGCCCAAAACTTAAAATTACTCCCTCCTTCCCAATGCCCTTCTTTGAAGGCTTTTAGAACTTCATGTTGGTTTATGGTGATCCACCACTCAAAACTGCATCAGTGTAGCTGAGACAGACTCCACTGAAGGGGAAGGTCAGAATGGGAGCAGAAAGAAAAAACTTTGGAAGCAATTGATATGGAACTTGACATCCTTTATTTATCACCTCTCTCTGGTATCTGCTGGGAATATGTATTAGGCAGAGCTTGCTATATGTGCAGGGAATGGGAAAGCTGAGTACTTAATCTCTACAGCAGTTGTTTATTGTTTTCCCTGGCAGAGGCGGATTTTTCTTTTCCCTGAATGGTTTATTTTATAGGCAGTTACACTATACAGATTTCTTTGGTTGCTTTATGTTTATTTATGCTATAGATGAAAGCACAAAACTCTATTGCTGTTCTTGGGAAGTGATTGCATTCTCTCCTGGGTTGTTACACACTCAATCCATGTCAAAATAACTTGAAGCTGTTGCCCAGTACCTGGTAATGAGATTTTACAGTGCTGCAGTGCAATGCACAATTGAAAGCGTTGTCCTGGGCCACCTGGTCAAATGTGTTCAAATGTGTCATGGGACCAGGAATTTCAGCAGCAGTGGCAGTAGCTGTGGGGCAGAGCAGGAGTGGGGCTGCACAGCCAGACCCACTGTTCCCAGCAGCAGCAGCTGAAGCAGAGTGTAAAATCTCACCCCAGAGTGAGACTTAATTTTCTGGCCAGAATACCCCAAAAAGTTCTTGTGCAGTGCCACTGCCTGGCCTTCAGAGATGCTGGTATGGGTTAAGGGAACTGAACAGAACCCCCCAGTGTTAGTATTATAGGCATTTTTTATGCAGCCTTGGAGTAAGTAGCCCTCCAAAACGGAGGTAAACCAGGAACATTTTTGCCCCCACCACCTCATGCCATGGCTTCAGCTGTTCAGGATCCCTGTAGTGGTATTTTTCCAGGGATTCAAGACACTTTACTGTACAGTGTCTGAGCTGGATCTATTTGTATAAGTTTCTCTTTTAAGCACCAAATGAGAATTTCCATCATTTCTCTTGAAGGGTGGAAACTAATAGCTCTTGCCCATGTGTTTATAAATCAATGAAAAGCCACAGTCTAAGAACATGCACCTGGAGCTGGTTTTGGTTCAGCTTCTTAGTTCAAAGATTCTGCCCATAAGCAAAGCTTGAGCAGCTGCTGCCTTGGTGAGCCTAGGAAACAGGAAAGGTCAGTCCATTTGCAGTCCAGTCAAACCTTGGTGTCAGAGAGTACCTAATTGTAGGTTTCTGTTTCTGGCCACAGAGTTTTGAGATTTCTGTATATTTGAGACAATTTTATAAAGTTCAGTTATAGTTTTCAGAAATGGCTATTTGCAACTGTTAACTGACTGTACTTTCATGTCCTAAGTCTTGCATCTAAACCAGAAGTATTTGTGTTCTATGCATCCATAGCTAATGGAAAATAGAATTGTGGAGTTTTCTTCAGTGTTGCAATTGTTTCACTGTAGGTGTATCCTTAGAAATTAAATTTGGCCTTATAGTTAACAAAGCTCTGAAAAAGCCAAAAGCCAGGAAGAGGATGTATGTCAGCCCTAGTAGGAAGTTTCTGCAGGGAGACAGGTCAGCTTTGGTGTTTTCAGTTCTACAGTGACAGGACTCAACAAATCTGTTGATTTTTGTGATCTTGTACTTCAAGTGATATTGCTGTAAATCTCTCCTGCAGCTGTTGGTGTAACTTAGTCAAAGCCAAGCTGTTTTATATACAATTTCATTTTTCTTCAGGGTCAATTTTGTACTTTAAAAATCTATTTCTGCATTTCCTGAGTTATCCCAATGCTGCAGAGGACAGCAGGGAGAGCAGTGAGCATATCCTGCTCCTCCCCAACCATGCTGTGCAAGGGGCTGGGCTGGATCACCAGGGACACTGCAGGAACCTGCAAGGCTGCTTACCCCATGCTCTAGTCCCAGCATGGCATTATCCAGGCACAGAATGGGTTGGTGAGGGCAAGGATGGATGTGGATGGGCTCAACTGTGACATATGCTGTTAGTTCTGAATAATTAGTAAGAGTGTTATAAATTTTGTAAACTTTTTAAACTTTGGTTATGGAGGTAACATTACAAATAAGGGGTCATTTGTGTACTTGTTTTTGTATTTTGCTCTGGTGGGCTTTTTTGTTGTTGTGCCCTAAGTCCAGATCATTGGGCAAATAGTCGTTAAACCTTGAAATTAAAACAAATAAATGCATTTTACTCAATACTGGATACTTTTGTTATGATTCTAATTGTGCCCGGTCTGAGTCTATCTTGCTTAGAACTTTTTCTAACTAGAGGCACATAATATTAGCTCTTTATAATCAGGTGAGAAGATGGAGGCTTCTGTCTGAAACAGCGTGTACAGCCTGATGTTGTCTACCTTGCATACACCAGTTCCTGTGAGAACAAGAGGTACTGGGATTTCTGGAATTCTAAGCAGTTCAGTCTGACTTGTGTCTGTTACCACTCAGTCAACAGCAGTTTACTGGCAGACTTACTGCAGGGTATAAAATCCTTTACTCACTGTCCTTGTCTTTCAGGTGCAGAGCTCAGGAAACTGTTACAAGGATGCACCCTCCATGCTTCTTCATTGCTCCTAGCCCAGCTTGGGTAATGCTTTGTGGTGTCCATTACACAGCACTTTAGCATAAGATGGTAGAACACCCACAGAAGTTTTCAGCTCACACCTTTGTTCAGAAAGCTGCTGTAGCAGCTACAGGACTGCACTCAGCCCCACACCACAGGACGGCAAAGTAGTTTTAATGCACTTTGCAAATGCTTCTGGCTGTAATAAACATAATTGCAGCCTAGTTAAATGTATTCTTGTGACTCAGTAATTTCAGACAAGCAGGTTATTGCCTTGTGTGTGGTTCTTGGAAAATACTGTTCTTGGAAAAAGAACATACTGGATGTGGCCACCCTGTATTATTACATATCCATTGCAGAGGATCCAGTCTTTCATGTGGCTGGGGAAAAGAATCAACTCTCCAGCTTAATTTCTCTGGAGGAGTATAAAGACTGATGAAACAGCTTAAGTAGAAATCCAGTGTGAATTGCTGTATGGCAGCCTGAACTGAACCGAACAAGCAATTTCCCACTGCAGGCACTGCTGATTATTGTCAGCAGCTCTCTGTAACTAATTAGAAATCAGCTTTTATTGTTTAATACCAACAAATCTGTAAGAATAAGCAAGTTTCTTCATCTGAAACACCCTTAATGCTACTTTCTTGGTTTGATTTTTACAGTATGGGAATTGGAGAGCCGGCTAAAGCAGTGAGAACAGTGGAAACTCATTGTAGGAAGTGGTAGCTAGCTCTGCCTTTCAATGGCCTCAGGGTTTTACCCAGTTGAGAGTAATGATACCAAATGTGTGAGCCAGCTTCCATCACTGGATTAGTATTTACCCAGGCAGGTTTCCCTTCATATGTTTGTTAATCTTCTAAATCAAAGCTTCAGAGCAAGTGAAGTAAGGGCTGCATCAGACTTCAACATCCAAAGGTGACATAGATTCTACTGCTCTGCTTTCAAAGACTTTGCATCTACAGACAGCAGAGCTATTATTACAGCATGAGGCAAGCAAAGCCCTTCTAAACTCAGAGCTGAGTTCCAGGGAGATGGAATGCTTTATCTCAGGAATTATCCTACAGTGGAAATATGCTCCCGTTAACTCAGACTCAGTAGAAAGTGTCTCTCAGCGCACCAAGAATTTGGCTGAGGGACTGAAGTTCTCCAACTCAATTTGGCAGCAGCTGTACTGTTGCTTTGACAGAGATGCTTCAATACACATTGGCACAATGTTCTGTTCAACAATCTGGCTGTAAAGGGGTACCGGTGCTGTGTTGCTGACACCAGTGTAACTGGTTCTGCAAAGAAATACTGCTTCAGAAGATTGAGATCACTTCTGCCTCTCACAGGAGGGAGCTCAGGCTTGGACAGAATTCCATGTGTAAAATTAAACATAAGAAGTACAAAATGGAACTGGAAATTGACGAGTATTTATACTGATAAAAATACTGAGATAAATAACTGATGTAGCTGATATAAATGGTGATTTCACTGGGAGTGTTTAGTGAAAGCTGCATGTACCTGTCCCCAGTTTGTTCCTACAGCAGGCAAAAGGGTAAGACAGGAAAATGTTTCTAACACACCGTTAGCCTTTGACCTTCTGCCCAGGTACAAATGCTTCAATAAAAACATTAACCAAGCCACACAAGCAGAGAAACATATAAAGAAATAGTGATTATTTTTCCTTATTTTATTGGGTAAATGATTTGAAAGGTAATAACAATAGTGTTAAAACTACTACAATATCTTTCCACAGCCATATCTCACAGACCCACAGATAACCTTCTAGCATTTTTATTTTTCCTCATTTTTCTCTTTTTAAGCCTTACTTATATGAAAATGCCCATTTCCACAGTTTCTTCACACTAATAGCAATTCAATGTGGAAGGAAGAAGGATCTAGTTATAAAGGAAGGGGGTTCAGGTAATCTGTGATATTACTGTAATCAATTGAGTTGCTAAGGAAGGAAGGAAAATAGCGAGGCCTTACAAGCTACTCCAGGTAGCTCTAAGCCCACTGTGTCTCACCATGGCATTGAAGGTAACTCAAGATCCTGGTGAACAATTTGAAGTAAGTTTGATTTTTTTTTGGTAACTTATAAAACATTAAAATAACTTAGAAACTAGATCCAAATATCTTTAAAAGAAGATATTTTTTTTTTACAAAAACAGTCATAAGTTTTTACAAAAGTTTCAAACAAAAGTTTGTTTTTTCAGTGCGTTTATGTACCAGCACAATTACTGAGTCCAGAGCAAAGAAAGAGGTTTTTCTTTTTTATTTTTTTTTTCTTTAACAGTAAAAAAAAATGAGGAAAACATATCTTTGTATATAAAGAATCATTGCTGGTCTTAGGAATAAATGTTACCAGAAACTCTTAAATCTGAGAGGCACACTTTGGATTTCTCTTTTTTTAAAATTTTCTTTTTTTTAACATAAAATGAAAGTCACCAGTTTATTTAAATGGAGGAGACACTCAGACTCCCCAAATAAACTTAATTCAATTAACATCACTAGCAAAAATCAGTTAGAAACTGTACAAAAATAAAAAAGTTAACACATTTAATCCTGCAGGGATTTTGTAAGGACTGGAAGGCAGGCTTTAGGAGCAGCATTTGGGCATGGCTGGAGGCTTCTTTGGTTCGATCTAACACACATAAGAGATGTAACCTACTCCAGACAACAGTTTTAAAAACCCGCACAGTTGAAGACAAGTAAAGGTCCATATATAAACTCCAGGTGTGCCAGGGCTGTGCCCACCTTGGTTCCAGAGTGGGGCTGAGGTCAGGACCGGAACATCCACCCCTGCCAGAGCAGCATCCGCTGGGATGGCAGAAGGAAGGACACTTGAAGCATCACCAAGTAACAGCTTTGTGTCAAGTCTATGGTTTGGTTATCTAACTCAACTAGTTTACAGCACAGAGTTTTTAGGAACATTAGGCAAGAGAATGAAAAAAAAAATAACCCAACAATCTCTTCAATGGAATAAGGCAAACTGAGTAGTGCTCATAAAAAAAATAAAAAAAAATCAGCATTTCAACTTCACAAACAGTGAAATAAACTACTTGGTTGTACCTTAATTTCTATAAAGTGCCCCAAATGAAAAGCAAATCTGTAGCTAGCCCCAACAGTACAGCTAAAAGCTACTAAATGTAACTACAAAGGAATGACATTTGTGAGAGCAACTGCTGATCAGCTTTAAGCAAACAGACCTATGCAGTGCCATTGCATGTCACAGGGAGCTGCACGATTGGTACAAAAAATCCCACAATTACAGAGAAACAATCTGCAGCAGTTCAACAGAGTGTGCTGAGGAGGTAGGTGCCCTAGAAACACTGTAGGTAGACTGATTATTCCAATGTTAAAAAAAATAAATAAAAAAAAATCAAACAATCTGATTGACCACAGACTCTGTAACAGTTTTTTAATTAGTGATACAAAACTCTGGTCCAGAAGGGTCTGGCATGAGCTCGGTTCAAAAGCACACCTTTACAGTTTGTATAACACCCTTGAACTGTATTTTTAAGCAACAGCTAATAAGAGATAGACAAAAATGCATTGTGCATTATGCTGTATACAAAAAGGAGACAAAAACTATCCTTTTTTCCCCCAAGCCATTGTGGGAAGTATTGCTGACCTTGTCCTTAAAATCCTGCAGGATTGTTTATTCATCAGTATATCATTATTACACTGGTAAGAAATTCTGTATAATATCTGCATATATCGAAGATTTTTTAAAAAATCTGATATGATTTTAGATCCGCATGACCAGTCACGTGACCTTCTTGAGGTTGATTAGCACCTTTCAGTACATATATATTTTTATATATAATAGATCTTTTTAAAAAACTTCTAACAATAAGCTCATGCAGAAGCACGAGCGAGCTGTAACGAGATGACATAAAGATGGGGTTGGATGACTTTTTTTCACAACAGAATGATTCAGTTTGTGCTCAGGTTCCCTATAAGGGCAAGAAAAAAAACCAACACAACTCCATCAGGTAACCACTTGTTCACATTTCCACTTGAAGACTAATTCGTCTAAAAGTGTTCCCCAAGTAGAAACAAGACAACATTATCATCCAAAATAGCCTCTGTATAAACATCTATTGATTTTTGCAGTTTCTGGCTGGTATCTCCTGGCTCCTGAAATTTCAGGCCCTCCACTTAAAAATTAAGGCATCGCAACTGAAAATGCAAATATTTGGACATAAATGCTGTGGATGAAGGAATAGCAAAGACCTTCCACAAGAACCTCCATAGAAATTAAGTGGCAGATCTAATCTCACACAAGGGATGAGCATAATTTATCCATATCTGACTTTGAAACCCTACTGAAACATTTTACAGTTAATCAATTTATTTTTTTTAACACAACTGAATTTTATCTATTTGATTTTTATATATCTATGTATTTACAGACATTCACTATTCAAAGTAACTGGAATTTCTGCTCACTGTGGTTTACTCACGCAGATTAGGAAGGTCTTTTCTGTAACAGGTGGCCTGTGCTGCCACAAGCAGCAGTGGGAATTCTGCAGGCACAGGAGGAAGGAGTGAGCTCCTTCCATTGACTGGCCTTGCAAATAGACCACACATACTTTTTACTAAATCCTATTTTTACAGCAGAAAAAAGTCCCAATCTATTTTTTCTTCTCTTATGTGGAGGGGTATCAGAATTATTACACAGTACTAACAGCTCT